CTGAGGAGATTGGATCGATCGTTGCTGCTACAACTACTACTCAGGCGAAGCAACTTTCGGTTAAGTACTAGTTGACTGCTTGTTCACGACTACAGGAGTACTAGTACAAGTTGGCTGATTGCCGTGAATTTCTTTGTCGTTTGTTTGCTACGTCCATTGCTCAATATCTACCAGGTGCTATTTATCCTATTTGGTTTGGTCCGCAAATTAATTCTTTGAAGAATTATTTCTTTCGACTTGTACTACTTTGTGTACACAGTTTTATCAACTCATGGCATCCATGAAGTACGATCTTCCGCTGCTGGACCATGACACAAGGTTTACCCTATGGAAAGTCAAGATGCGGGCGTTGTTGGCACAGTCCGACTATGATGAAGCATTGGATAGTTTTGGGAAGAACAGAATTCAGGGCTGGACTGATGAGGAGAAAGGAATTGATTGTAAGGCTTTGTCACAAATTCAACTCCATTTGCATAATAATATTTTGCAGGAAGTTTTGAGCGAGAAAACTGCCGCCGCTCTATGGTTAAAGCTGGAAGGGATTTGCATGACTAAAGATCTCACCAGCAAGATGCATCCGAAGCAAAAATTATTCCTGCACAGGTTACCCAAGGGAGGTAATGTTTTGAATCATATTTCAGAATTTAAAGAGATAATATCTGATCTAGCTGCAATGGAGGTTAAGTATGAAGAGGAAGATACTGCTTTAATGTTACTTTGTTCACTGCCAAGTTCTTATACCAATTTTAGAGACACCATCTTATACAGTCGTGATACTCTCACACTTAGTGAAGTTTATGAAGCTTTGAACTCTAAGGAGAAGATGAAACTAATGGTGCCTCATGATGGTTCAAGTTCATCCCAAGCAGAGGGATTATCTGTTCGTCGCAGGATAAAGGAGAAGAACTCACATAATGGAAACAGAGGCAAAAGTAAGAACGGCTACAGGGGCCGGTAGCAATCCAGAAACAAGAATTATTGCAGGTATTGCAAGAAAGACGGGCATGACATCTCTGAGGGTTTCAAGTTGCAGAACAAGGAAAAGAGGAAAGGTAACAAACAAGGTGAAAATTCTGCTAACGTTGCTCGTGATGATAGTTCCGATGATGCTCTTGTTGTTATTGCTGGATGTACTGAGACCAATGATGAGTGGGTACTTGATACTGCATGTACTTTTCATATGTGTCCACATAGAGATTGGTTTAATACTTTTGATTCCACTACTTCTGCTGGTTCCGTTTTGGGTTTTGATAATTCACCATGCAAGATTGAAGGCATAGGTTCTATTCGAATCAAGATGTTTGATGGCATAATCAGAACTTTGACAGATGTTCGGTATATTCCGAAGTTGAAGAGAAATCTTATTTCTATGAGTGCCCTTGATGCAAAGGGGTACAAATATTTAGGTGGAGATAGTGTTTTGAAGGTCACCAAAGGTTCCCTTGTTGTGATGAAAGGTGACTTAAGTTCGACCAATGGTATTTATTACCTTCGAGGTTCTACCGTTTCAGGTAACGCTACTCCAGTTATTTCAAGGAATTCTTATTGTCATGCTGCTAATCTTTGGCATATGCGTCTTGGACATATGAGTGAACTTGGTTTAGCAGAGTTAAATAAGAGAGGTCTTCTTGATGGATATGAACCTGGTAAATTGAAATTTTGTGAGTATTGTATCTTCGGCAAGCACAAGAGGGTGAAGTTCAATACTTTGACTCATACAACCGAAGGTATTCTTGATTATGTGCATTCTGATTTATGGGGACCATCTTGCAAGAAGTCACTAGGTGGTGCTAGTTACATGCTGACTATTATTGATGATTATTCGAGAAAAGTTTGGCCTTATTTCTGGAAGCATAAATATGAAGCATTCTCAGCATTTAAGGAGTGGAAGATTATGATTGAAAGACAAACTGAAAAGAAGGTAAAGATACTTCACACTGATAATGGTATGGAATTCTGTTCTAAGCAATTTAAGAATTATTGCAAGTCTGAAGGCATTGTCAGACATTACACCGTTCCTTATACTCCTCAACAAAACGGTGTTGCTGAGCGCATGAACAGGACCATTATTTCCAGAGCCCGTTGCATGTTGTCCAATGCAGGTTTGCATAAGCGTTTTTGGGCTTAGGCCGCTTCCACTGCTTGTTATCTCATTAACCGTTCACCATCTATTGCTCTTAATAAGAAAACTCCAATTGAGGTTTGGTCTGGTTCACCTGCTGATTATTCACAGTTGAGAGTTTTTGGTTGCACTGCTTATGCTCATGTTGATAATGGAAAGTTGGAGCCTAGGGCTGTTAAGTGCATCTTTCTTGGTTATAAGTCTAGTGTTAAAGGTTTTAAATTATGGAATCCTGAAACCCAGAAGGTTGTTATTAGCAGAAATGTTATCTTTAATGAATCTGCTATGTTACATGATGTTTCATCTACTAATGTTCCCATTGAGAGTGAACAGCGGCCTATTATTCAGGAGCCTACTGTTCAAGTGGAGCATGTTATTGATTCAGGTGATACATCTCGTAATGAAATTGTTGATGCACATGATGAACCCGTCGTTAATGATGATCATGTCACTCCCACTCCAAATCAGCCTATTGTTCCACCCAGTTGGAATCTTGCACGTGACAGAGTTAGACGGGATAGTAATAAACCTGGCAGGTTAATTGAAGAGTGCAATATTTGTTTCTTTTGCTTTATCTGTTGCAGAAGAAATTGAAGGTAATGTTGAGCCTTCTTCATATTCCGAGGCTATTATTTCTAGTGATAGTAATAAGTGGATGACCGCCATGCATGATGAGATGGAATTACTTGAAAAGAATGGCACTTGGGATTTAGTAAAATTACCTAGAGAGAAGAAACCTATTCGTTGCAAGTGGGTTTTCAAAAGGAAAGAAGGTGTTTCTCCAAATGATGAGACAAGATATAAATCAAGGTTAGTTGCTAAAGGTTACAGTCAGATTCCAGGTATTGACTATAACGAAGTCTTTTCTCCTGTTGTGAAGCATAGCTCTATTCGCACTTTACTCAGCATTGTTGCCATGCATGATCTTGAGCTTGAACAACTAGATGTTAAAACTGCATTCTTACATGGAGAATTGGAAGAGGATATTTATATGGAACAACCTGAAGGTTTTGTTATTCCTGGAAAAGAAAAGCTTGTTTGTAAGTTAAAGAAATCTCTTTATGGATTGAAGCAATCCCCTAGACAACGGTACAAGAGATTTGACACCTTTATGCTCTCTCAAGGTTTCAAAAGGTCTAATTATGATAGTTGTGTTTATTTGAAAACTGTCAAAGGTTCAACTATTTATTTGCTCCTTTATGTTGATGATATGCTTATTGCTGCAAAGAGTATGTCAGATATTAATGAACTAAAGAAGCAATTGAGTAATGAATTTGAGATGAAGGATTTGGGTGCAGCAAAGAAAATACTTGGCATGGAAATATCTAGAGATAGACCATCTGGAAAAGTATATCTAAGTCAGAGAGGATATATTGATAAAGTTCTTTGTCGTTTTAATATGCATAATGCCAAGCCAGTAAGTACTCCGTTAGCTGCGCACTTCAAATTATCATCAGCCTTATGTCCTAAGTCAGATGCAGATATTGAGTACATGTCTAGAGTTCCCTATTCGAGTGCAGTTGGTTCACTTATGTATGCCGTGGTTTGTTCTCGTCCTGATTTATCATATGCATTGAGTGTTGTCAGTAGATACATGGCTAATCCTGGAAAAGAGCATTGGAAAGCAGTTCAGTGGATTTTCAGATACCTGTGTGGTACTTCTAATGCTTATTTACAGTTTGGGAAAACTAGAGATGGACTTGTTGGTTTTGTTGATTCTGATTTTGCTGGTGATTTGGATAAGAGAAGATCACTCACAGGTTATGTTTTTACCATTGGTGGTTGTGCTGTGAGTTGGAGAGCAACTTTGCAGTCTATTGTGGCTTGTTCCACTACTGATGTCGAGTATATGGCTATTTCTGAGGCATGCAAAGAAGCTATCTGGTTAAGAGGTTTGTATTTTGAGCTTTGTGGAGATTCATCTTGCCCTGCCGTATTTAGTGACAGTCAAAGTGCTATATATCTTACAAAAAATCCAATGTATCATGAGAGAACAAAGCACATTGATGTCAGATATCATTATATTCGAGATGTTGTTGCTGAAGGTGATTTGAAGGTATGCAAGATAAGTACTCATGATAATCCTGCTGATATGATGACAAAGCCAGTTCCGACCAATAAGTTTGAGTTTTGCTCAGGCTTAGTTGGTATTTCTCACTAATCCTATGGACTTTGACGCACAAGGTGTTTAAGCTGATTTGGATGGAGTTATTCACTCTCTTCGACTACTGGAGGGAATTTGGCTCAAGGTGGAAATTGTTAAATTGTGATCCAAATTCTAGTACCATATTGGACTAGACGTAGTACATACGGTGTGGGCCTTTTGCGTTGGTACCTACGCGTACGAGTACAACTCGTTTACTTGTCCTACAAGGACTCCTATGTGTTGCCCCTCATATATACCCCATGTAGTCGCACCTCAGACGGTCTGTCGTCTCGTGCTTGTAATACTCCTCCTCATAATGATTGCGCCTTCGTGCGTTCGTGGTTTTCTTCTATAAGGGTTTCCACGTAAAATATGTGTCTTTTTGTCTCGTTTATTTCTCGTTATTATCTAACAGCCGGTACAACTCCGCCGCCACTGCGTTGAGCCGCCTCCGAGTGGTGGTCCGGCCTTGAGCCGCCTTGGGTTACCCCTGCCGGTGTGGTCTCTCGGGTGAGTCGCCGAGCCCCTCCATATGGTCTGCACATCGCCGGCTCATCGCAGTGCTTCTAAGTTACCTTGCGTTTTACCTGAACCACCAACGTGCGTGGCCACGGTCGCGGCCGCAAGACGCCACCTCCGTGGCTGGCCCTACCCTCCGCAACTAGCCACTGCCACTCCGCAAGTCGCCGCCTCCATCTGCCTCGGACCCGCTAGTACGCCTCATCTCCGCGGTCACCAGCGCACCTTATCGGCCTCGCCGACTGCCTTGGCCCCCCTGGTCGAGCCGCCTTCAACTTGAGCCCTCGTCGAGTCGGATCGTTGTGTCATCCAGTTGTTGTCACCGGCCTTGGCTGCTGGTGCGGGCCGCCTCACTCTGCTCCTGTTGTGCCCGGGCTGCAGCCGCCTCTGCCTCAACCCGCTTCTGTTGCGTCGCCCCTGCCTTGAAGCATCGCCCGCGCTGTACCGCACTGAGCCGGCCTCTTCTGCCGCACCTCCGAGTGGCTTGCCTAAGCCTCCGCTACCTCTAGCAACCCATCGCCTCGCCGTAAGCCGGCCGTTGCTAGACAGCATCTGCTCCGTAGGCTGCCCCGTGGCCGTTTTCTTTGCCTCTGTTCCGTGAACTGCCCTGCACCAACTTCCACAGCTGCGCCCGGGGTGACTTGCCAGGAGTTGAGCCATCTCGAATCTCCAGAGGACTCCTCGTGCCGCCGAGCTAACCCGGTCGTGTGGCCTCTGCAGCAATCCGCTTTGCCAACTCGTCGGGGTTGTCACGGCCGCTTTCCTTTATCCCGCGCCTCTGCTGTTGTCGGGTTACCTCCGATGCTGCGGCCGCTTCCGCCTCGTCAAGTCGTCAATGGAGAGCTATAGCCCGGCGCTATCATCCGCCACTCTTGTACGCCTGAATCCGCTGCCCCGTCGGCCACGCTTGTTTCCCGCGCTCGCCGGCTCGCGGATCCGCCCACGCACCGGTTCGTCGTTAGCGCCGTCTCCGCTGGTCTCCACGAGCCGTCGTCTCTGTTTCGATGCTCGTCTACAACCACCGTTCGCATCTGCCTCTGTGGACCGGCCCTCGACGGGGCTTGCTGACCCGTTCGACTCACCGCTCGCCCGCGGGCTCCAACCCGCCGCCGGTCGCAATTCCCGCGGGCTCGTCTTCCAAGCCGCTGGGCGGTTTACCCGGCCTCCGCGTCAAATCCTCTGCTAACTCGCCGGGTCGGCTGCCATGGAAATATTGGTCAAGCAAGTGGCCCTCGCAGGAGATAAGAACATGTTATAAAGCTGCCAATGAGCGGGCCCTACCAGGATGTGTGTGGTCTGCCTGAGGGGTTGACGTTCAAGCTGCATCTAATGACCTGGTGCAAATCAAAACACAGGAGGAGCATGCGATGTTAAAATAATGGAGATGCGTACAGGCCAGCCACAACTACTACTGCAAGAGTTGGAATCAGTCGCAGACCAACATGTCATAATTTTTCAATGGCCGCCGGCCGTGCGATGAATAGTTGCAATCTCGGGATCGATAAGCCCAGAGGTCATTACGTGTGTAATGGCATAATCCGTCCAAAGAAAGATCGTAGAGACAGAGCAGTAAGGCAAGCACACAGAGGTTGTACCAGCGCTCGCAACGTACTGGATCCCTAGATGACACACACTGAATTGTTAAACCGGGAGTCCGGTTTGCATGGACACATCAGGTTATCCGGCGGACCCGATTAAAATTATTGCTATATGTTTCAATCAACAAATCGGAGGCCGCGCCAAATGTTCGTCCGCATTGAGTTGTCCAACAGAAAGCGGCAATAAGCATAAATCTTGATGTCTGATCGGTCTAGTTATTTAAACTTGGTTTGCGCCATCAGTATCGTTCAACAAAAAATACCAGGTGTTATCCTTTCTATATATTTTAGCAGTACATTTTTATTCCTCTGAGCACTATTACACTGCCCTGTTGGTGTTTTTATATACAAGTAAAATTATTGTTATATTGCGGGTATAAAGCACGCACTAGCAACGTTCTACAATGGCGTTCTCCTCCGTGTCACATTACCCGATGAACGGACGGTCGGTTCACGCGTCCGCACTGGTTTACAACGCGGAGGACAACTTGCTCGTCCGCACCGGTTTACAATGTCGCAGCCGATTCATTTGTCTATTCCCACTGCCGGCTCGGCCGTGATTGATTTCAGCTTTACCGGGATGATCATCAACTCCACGGTGGATAATTTCTGGCCTAACATATCAGGTGACATCCATCCAATATATTTTTATATTTTGCTTTCTTTAAAAAGAGCAATTACTCCGGCTTGCAAAGTTATTTAATGCAGGACCTTAAACCGCCATATTGGTGCAAATTTAAATGCCGTCAGAAAATTTCCGGCTTAAAAAGAAGGATTGCCGTTTAAAATCCGGCTCAAGGGAAAGCTATCTCCCACAAAGCTTTGAAGCTCTCAATATCCGGTTCGAAATTCCGGTTAAAAAGAATTCATCTCTCGCAAGTTCGAGTTCTCAGAAAAATTAAAGGGACCAAAGAGAGTCTGCTGCACAGCACAGCTCAAACATAGGTACCCCTTGAGCACAGCTCACAATATCATTTGGGGTCTTGGTCGTTTTCGAACCATAGCTACACCTCTTGATCCGGCTATCAAGCCAATATTATCATAAGAGCACAGCTCTGGTTATTTCGGTAATCCGGCTATCAAGCCAATATTATCATAAGGGGCCAAAGAGAGTCTGCTGCACAACACAGTTCAAACATGGGTATCCCTTGAGCACAACTCACAATATCACTTGGGAGCTATGTTCGAACCATAGTCACACCTCTTGATAGGCTTAAAGCCACCAGGGAAATCACTTGGGGGCTCTGGTCGTATCCAAACCATAGCTTATACACTCTTGATAGGCTTAAAGCCACTAGGGAAATCACTTGGGGGCTCTGGTCGTATCCAAACCATAGCTTATACCATCTTGATAAGCATAAGGGCACCAGGAAAATCATTTGGGGGCTTGGTCATATCCGAACCATAGCTACACGTCTTGATAGGCATAAGGCCACCAGGGAAATCATTTGGGGGCTATGGGTTCGAACCATAGTTACACCTCTTGATAGGCATAAGGGCACTAGGGAAATCACTTGGGGGCTTGGTCATATTCGAACCATAGCTACACCTCTTGATCGGCGCAATGCCATAATTATGACTACATGGGGGCTCTAGTCGTATCCGAACCATAGCTTAAACCCTCTTGATCATACATATACATCATCATATATTACATCATACATCATCATTACATCATCATAGCATGTATCATATGTGCATGGATATACCGGCTTATAGGGCAGGAATCGGTTTTCAAACCAGGTCATATTATTCAAATCTTTAATAGCCAACATGGCTGGATTTATCAATAACCAGTATTATGATTAAGGTTTTCAAAGTCGCTTTAGCGCAATGACTATCATATTATCAATGGATATGATTTATTCTACAATTGAAGGAATAGTCCCGAGTCGCTGCAGGCTTACGACCCGGTACTTGGGGGACACCTTATTCAAGTTGGGATTACATAAAATACACAAGTCTCATGTCGCTGCAAGCATGCACCATGACACTTGGGGGCTAATGCAAAGTCATTGTTTGCTCACTTATTGAAGACCCGACTCATCACATCGTAATGAGCCGGCCCTTGGGGGCTACCAATTTTTCCTGTCAACAAATCAAGGTACACACATTTTCATCTATTATTGAAGGATCCACTACTCAGTTGGTAAAGCACAAAGCTCTCAACCTTGTGGATGTGGGTTCAAGCCCCATGATGGGGGTTACACCGTATAAGTTTATTCTCAATGAAGTATATATAAAGTATCAGCTCAATATTATCTTACTGAGCCGGCCCTAGGGGGCTACACGTTGCTGTTCAAGTCTACATGATCATATCTATAAAGTCCATGCTCCTTATTGCATAATGACCCGGCCCTTGAGGGCTACACTGGTTGAAGTTTTTATAAGCATAAGGCAATTTCAAGTCCCAGGTTGCTGCAAGCATGACAACCCGGTACTTGGGGGCTACATATGTGGAATACTCCGTTCTGACTAGTGATTGAGATGAACAACCTGGATTTCTTCAAGCTTGTGACATTCATATTGAAGCAAGTCTTAAAGTTGTTGCTATGCTACCTTCTTAAGACTTGGGGGCTACAAGTGATAGGCATATAAGAGGTATATCTTCAAAACTGATGTTAACAAACAGTTCTGATCCGGTGCCATCAATATTCTTAAACCGGCAATTTTGGCAATGGTAAACCGATAAAGTTTTACATTATTAAACCGGCAAGTTTTATATTCTTAAACCGGCTGAAGGTCAAATGAGTATTTCAAAGGCCAATATTTTTGTTAAGCATTGGGAGCTGAAGTCAAAAGAGTTATTCTTCACAATATTTCTCTGTGACAAACCAATGTCAGCAAATTGATTATGAAGCTGGTCTATTGACTCGGATTTTACAGAAGAAGGAAGTGACAAGGACTTAAGGATGATCAGGATCAGTTTAACATGGACAAATCCAAATTAAACTGGGGGCTAATGTCGGGGATATACCCCGCGGTATGATCCGGCCGGCGTTATAACCCGTCTGGGACTTAGTAAACCGGCAGGTGTTAAGGCAGGTGATAAACCGGTTGGTGTTAAGTCAGACGGTAAACCGGTAGGTTGTTAAACCGGCTGAGAGTTAACACAGACAGGTAAAATAGACAGTTAACTCAGACGGTAAACCGGCAGGTTGTTAAACCGGCTGACAGTTAAGACAGGAGTTAAGTCAGATGATAACTCAGCAGACATTCTTAAACCGGCAGACCATCTTAAACCGGCACCAGTTAACTCTCGGCAGACTATCTTAAACCGGCACCAGTTAAATCCCGGCAGGCAGTGGTAACTGGGTTGCCAGGAGTTATGAAGCCTGAGACGTTATGAAGCCCAAGATGTTAAGAAGCCCAAGAAGAGAAGTCATAATAGTTAAGTCTTAAGTCCGAGTTGGACTCTACATGTAACCCGCCCCTTCAACATATATAAGGAGGGGTAGGGCTCCCCAAAGAGGGACGAGGAAGAAGAAGGGTTAGGGTTAACTGGGAGAGCCGGTTTACGGTGACTTCCTCATGATCATAATGAGAGATAGCCTCAAACAGCAAGTAGGGTTGTTACCGTATGATGTTTCCCGGGGCCTGAAGCTGTCTAAACCTTTGTCTTGTGTTGCGTCTCTCGATTCCACTCAACCCCTCTCAAGCTACCACATAGATGCGTTGGCCTCACAACTAAGTCCTCACACTAGGACATCTGCCGTGACAATTCCACAACACATAGTGAATACATGAACTCCTCAAACTACGGTCATCACCGGTAAGTATCCCGATTATTGTCACTTCGGGGTTAACGGATCATAAAACATAATAGGTGACTATAGACTTGCAAGATAGGATCAAGAACTCTCATATATTGATGAAAACATAATAGGGTCAGATCTGAAATCATGGCACTTGGGCCCTAGTGACAAGCATTAAGCATAGCAAAGTCATAACAACATTAATCTCAGAACATAGTGGATACTAGGGATCAAACCCTAGCAAAACTAACTCGATTACATGATAGATCCCATCCAACCCATCATCGTCCAGCAAGCCTACGATTGA